CTCACCAAGTTGCCCAGGTGGGTCTCGAACCCGCGGGCTCAGGCATTCCACTCACCTCAGCCTCCCAAGGCACAGGATTACAGGCTGAGTTACCGAGCCCAGCTTCGACAAGTTCTTTAAGAAACTGGGACCGGCCGGGCTTGGTGGCTCAACCTGTAATCCCAGCACTTTGATTGGCCGAGGCAAGTGGATTGTCTGAGCCCATGGATTCGAGACCAGCCCAGGCAGGTTGGTTCTTAAGTGAGCCTGGATTTGGGGCTTGCCTAGAACGTACCTTCTAAAAACTCTTTGTAGGAACCTGCAAATGTCTGAGTGTTCATCAACAACTTTTAAAGCTATTAACAATACCTGAAGCACAAAACATTCTATTTGTACCAGATCCATTCATTTTGCTCATTTCTATTGCATCGTCCTTAGTTCACCAATTCTGCAATGCACATTTGTCCACATCTTAACATCTCTGACATGAGGCTGTGTCTTACAGTCACTGGCCTTTCACAGTCGCTGCCAGTCAGGGGGCAACTGTTTTGCAGCTGTCATTGCCTCTGTACATTCAAACCTGGCTGTCACTCCTGACTGCACAACTGCCCCTTGGTGTTCTAGTCAACACACCATTAAACCATGAGCTGGAGGTCTGCAAAGTCTTTAAGTCTTTTTCTTTGACATATTCTTTTTTTGAGTTGGGCCTTTAGGGGAGGGAGCCCACTCTGTCACCAAGGATCACAGTTTACTGCAGCCTTGACTCCTAGGCTCAGGCAATCCTTCCACCTCAGCTTCCTGAGTTGCTGGTATTACAGGTATGCGCCACCACGCTCAGCTAATTTTTTGTAGACATGAGTCCTTTCTATGTTGCTCAGGCTGGCCTTGAACTCCTGGGCTCAAGCACTCTTTTATGAAATATGACATTGGATAATGTTGACTCTGAGTGAAAAAATGATTCAGAAGTGTGAACTTCAAATGTGAAGGAATTTGAGGAATTCCTTAACTAGTGTATGTCACTTTTATTTTCCTTTTGATGTGAACAGAATATAAACATATAAAAATAATATAAAATATTATCTAGGCAGGTTAAAAAGTTTTTCTTAAGATTTAGGAAATAAAATTATTTACAGGATAAAAGCCCTAAGTGATAAGAAAGTGCTATCTTTATTAATAATCGACAGTGTGTGTTTGTTTTGTTATGTTTTTAGAAGGTTTTTCTTTTATTATTGCTTACATTCCACCCCCCCTTCTGGTTTTGGTTTGAATGGCGTGTCTTAGATTCAATGGTGGCTTAGATTCAATAAAATGCAGTATTTGAACTTCTTATGAATGTATCACTGGAAGAACACCACTGATCTTTTTCTGAATTGAGACTCTACTTCTCAGGTCATGTGAAATTTTCTGAATGTTTATGCCACACGTCACGTATCCATCCCAGCTGGTCGGTGCAGGCAAGGATTGGTCCCATCCACTCAGCCCATGTTTCTGTCACTGCAAAATAATCTCTCGGTTACCTCATGTATAAAATTGTGCAAAAACAAATGTAACCTATTATCACACGGTAAAACCATACTACAGATAACCTTTAGCCCCCAAATGTCAGTTCTAGGTACTTTTACCTGAATTTTGTTTTTAAGTTTAGGAATGCAATCAGAATTAATATGATGTGGAATTCATGTGTGAAACAGCAAAAAAAAAAAAAAAAAAAAAGTGCTTCTATTTTGCTTTCAAGCTTCTGAATCAATGAGTGTTGATTGCAAGGGAACTTGATAAAAAGAAAACTGCTAACCATTTGCAACCCCTTAATTTCATAAATGAGGATTTTTCTCTTTCTAGTACAAACAAAGCCAATGCCAAGATAACCTGCGAGGTGAGAATGATGTGACAGTAACTGCTTCTCATTGTTGTGCTATTTCAAAGAGCTGGGATGGACCCTGTCTTAGACTATTTGGGCAAAAATATATCATGGCAAAAAATACCATGGACTAGGTGGATTAAATAACAGACATTTATTTCTCACAGTTCTGGAGGCTGAGGGCCCAAGATCAGGGTGCCAGCATGGTTAAGACCTGGTGAGGGCTCTTTTCCAGGTTGCAGACTGCTGCCTTCTCACTGTATCTTCCCATGGAGGAGAGAGAGTGAGAAAGCTCTCTGGGGTCCCTTTTGTAAGGGCACTCATCCCAGTCATGAGGCTGAAGCCTAATCACTTCCTGATATCATCACATGGTGAGGGGCTTACAATGAATTTTGGGAGGGATGCAAGCACTCAGTCTGTAATAGACCCTTCACCCAAATTGGGTTCAGAGGTCAAGACTGACCACACACACACACCAAGAGGGTATGAACTGGCTCATTCCTCAAATGATGAGGCTTTTGGGGAAGGGAAGGGAAGGTTTTCAAGAGGTCCTAAAACAGCCTGAGAGAGCAGGGAGGGGCAAGTGGTGAGGAGTTTCATGGTGGTTATGGGATGGGGCAGTGGTTCCTCCTTTGGGCATAGTTTGAACTTCCCACCAGCATCAAAGGAGAGTGCATCTGGGCTTTCTCAGCCAACTTGCCCAGACCAGAGGGCAGAAGGGGACGGGGGAGTGGTGGGGCTCAAAATCTGTCAGCAGTCAAACACCAAAAACAGAGTCATACCTTTTATTACACTGAATACACATTTGTTAACGCCGATGAGCATGATTTCCAATTTGTGTGTTTGCCTAAGCGGCAGCATCATTACCAACCACTCAGCACAACCATTCAACAGATGTTTCTCCAATATCTACTATGCACCAGGCACCGTTCTTGCTGTGGAGGGTACAGCAGTGAACAAAATAGCCACCAAGTTCTGCCCTCATGAGAGGGAGGGAGGGAGGGAGGAACTGAGAAAGGAAGGAAGGAAGGAGAGAAGCGAGGAAGGAAGGAAAAAGAGAGGAAGGAAGGAAAAAGAG